GACGAAGAAGAGAGCGGGAAGTGACAGTCGCTGATAAATAAATGCGGAACTGGTGGCTGGGAGTATTGTGTGCGTGTGTGTGCTGTATATGTGCAAATATGTGTGTGTACCAGACTTTCGTGCGATAATTATTAAGGTCAGGTTAAGTCGAGAAAAAAGATAGAGAGAGAGAGAGAGAGAGAGAGAGAGAGAGAGAGAGAGAGAGAGAGAGGCATCGCGTATACCGCAATTTTGTGATTCGCGCATAAGTATACGTGTTATCCTTTCTCCACCAGTTGGCAAACTTCTTCCGCGCGTGATGTATTACGCATGCTGAGACGGACGAGACGGTTCGTGAAGTTGTGCAGAGTCTCGTTAAATAAAAGCGACGTGCTAGTTATGGGACGTCTAATTTCCGGAACAGTTTTATGGGCGATTCACCGCACAACCGTCCACCTGTCCGCTGTCCGCGCTTTCTTGGCGCGCGGTCGCAAATTACTTAATTTACGGTACGGAAATGTGTTTAGCGCGTGGCTAAAGCCAACCAAGTCGCTGAAAAGCCCCGCCGCTCGCGTGACCCGCGTGCTTTGCAAAAATCTATTCGGCACTCTCGGACGAGACCACGCGTTTTTTTCAAACGTTTTTGCACTGACACGCTACGCAGTGTAAGAGATTTTAAGATATTCTTGGCATATATTCTCTAAATTTTAAATGGAAAGAGTGGCGACCAAACTGCCATAAGCATTTAGCCCCATTTTTTGTAAGTTTGAAAATGGTCATAATTTTTATTTTTTTTGGAAACTTATTACGAGTAGATTCCAAATATATAAATATCGAGGTGGCGCTCCACACCGTTTCAGAGAAAAATAATCCAAAAGAGTTTCACTTCCGAGAGGAGAGGCGAAAGTGAAACTTTTTTGGATCATTTTTCTCTGAAACGGTATGGAGCGTCACCTTGATACTTATATATTTGAAATCTATTCGTAATAAGCTTTCAAAAAAACCAAAATTATGACCATTTTTAAACTTACAAAAAATGGGGCCAAACTTAGCTGCATTCTTTACAACATTTGAGTCAAACTAAACTAATTTACTCGTTGTATGTCAGTTATTTCTGATACAAATAAAAAATAAAATAAAATAAAAAATAAAAAAATAATTTTATAAAATAAATAATTTTATTTATAAAATAAAAATATTTTTTTTTCATATAAATTCTTATCAATTTTACCATATTTCCAGTAGTACAGAAATAGACTATCAGTAAGGTCTGTCTTGCTAAGGAATATAGCAATTTCTCTAAAAACATAACAAATTTTTGAATAGCATATTTTAGTTTTTAAAATATATAAATAATACATATAAAATATGAAAGGATATTCAATTATCGCAGACTGTCGATATATTCGTCTGTTGCAAAATTCTATAGCGATTTTTACTGTAAAATTCTTCCTGTGTAGAGTGCTCGTTTAATAAATCTGTCGCTCACTCGTCGATTGTATTCCCAGTTCAAACCACGTGGCTCGTCGACATGTTCAGGTCGAACCTTTCATCGCCACGAGTTGAAATTTTCTTTTGAAGGTGGTTGAATTTGTATTTTATAGTAATTGAATTGTATTTCATAACACCTTGTGGAGTCTTTAGAAATATTCTTTTGTCTTCCTTAAGATAGTTCGTCCACGACAATAGTATCAAAAAATTTATGATTAATATATTATATAATTTTGACTAGGGCTGTCTGCATCATATATATCATATATTATAATACTTCAGTCGCTATCAGAAATTGTGCACTTTAGGTATCAATTCTCTCAAAACTAGACGGTTGAAAGTCTTGTACTATTGTAATAATTTCTACAAGCCTCTTTTATCACCTTAATTTTGATTAAAAAATAGTTTGAACGCTACAATCAAAAACGTGCTATCGGAAACCGTTTTCAATCATTTTCTAATTGCATATGTAGGTAGATCGTGTTTACATTAATATACTATGAATATACTATGAATATACTACGAAAACTTTACAAGATTCATAAGAAAATAGGTTTACGAACGAATTAATTTAAATAATTGCCGAAAGTCTTCTTTACAAAAGTGTTTCCTTCTTCTTACATCATGCGATCACAATCTCAAGAATCCCGAGACGCCGGGATCGTCGGAGAGGCGCGCGGATGGCGTGTGAAGAAAAAAGAAAAGAGATCGGAGTATCATTGTTCCATAAAATTGCTGCTGAGCCGAGCGATATTCCGCGTTTATCGCGGAGGAGGCGCTCAATAGCGCGCGTTATGCGTTTCGTCTCGCGGCGTAAATTGCGCGAGGTAATTCCTTGAGAATATACCCCGATACGCGACGATGCGTAATCCATGGGTGTTTTTCGCGTGGCATCTTTATCGCCCGTGGGTGCAAAGTGTTCCCCCCCTCCCGTCATCGAGCGGCTCGGGAGAAGTCGTTCGTGAGAGTCTTTCGGTGAACGACGCGTACGGACTCTCTATGACGGTGAAACATGAATTTCGGGATGTTTACGAGGTCGATCGTCGAACACCGATATGCCGGCCGCGCAGTTACTTTCGCGCTATTGCGACGCTAAAAATACCACGTGCTCGGCACACATTTTTCGCGACCGGCGCGCAGTGTAAGAATCTAAGCAAAATCTAGCGAAAAACAAATTTTGATATTGATATTTTGACGATTATATCTAATTCATTGATCTTTACCTGATACACACTGTGAGAAAATTAAGTGAACACTATACCGGGACAAGATGGCTACCTTGCTATGTGTTCGCATTTTGATTATTACAAAACAAAGTATACGGTTAACAGGCTCGTGGTGGATATCAAGACATGGAAGAAAGTTGCCACTGTCATGTTTATACAGTCAGTCGCAACAATTAGTTGCCTGAGAAGTTGTAACTTCGAAATTCTAAGATATAGGACATCTACTTCTGGCCTCCTCTATAACAATCGATTTCTCCTCGCGGAAGAGCCACATTTCCAAAAGTTGGCTGCTTGCACCCGGAAAGAATTCGCGGGCCGCGCCAAACGCACGCGGCATGTGCCGCGTGCATTAGTGCGGAAAGTAATGTGCGCGCGAAGCGCATCCCGAAAATAGCGTGTTCGCGCCCGACAGGTGGGTGGTTGGCGGGCACGTCATCGCCGTCGTCGCTTTTTCTGGGATTTCGCGCGTCCGTATATACGAGTGTGAGTCAGTTCGCGCGCATGAATCGCGCCGATAGGAATAGAAACCGCGCGGGAGCGGGCCCCGTGGGCGTTCATTCTTCTTCGTCCACCCTCGTCTCGCGATCCGATCGCGAGGGATCAATGGGCAAGGTCATGTCCGTCGCTTCGCCCGCTCAACTTTGTTGAGTCGCACGCGAACGAGCAGAAAGACACTGCGAGCGAATTGACGTCTTTTTATAGCTCCTCTCTTGTGTCTCCCTCCCTGTTATCTCGGTGGTGTTCTAGGAAGAAGAAGGAGAAGAAGAAGGAGAAGAAGAAGGAGACGAAGAAGGAGGAGGAGAAGATGACGACGACGAAGAGAAAGAAGACAAAAATGAAGAAGCGTGTGTATGTGTGTACTTGCGTCACTCATGCAACGATCAAGACGCTACTTTGTTCTTGGGGCGGGAAGATACTTTTAATTAGCCCATTAATGTCGACATTAAGATAGATAACGCGAGACAAGTGGAAAATATT